GTTGTAATCTGAATCTCGTTTCCGTACTGACGAACGGGCCAAGGCACAACAATTGGTATCAGAGCATCGTTGGACGCTTTGGTTCGTTGGAGGTCCAGATTTGTTGTTCACCATGGAATTTTCAGTTGAGCAGTTTAATGGGAGATGCTGTTTTACTCTTGGTAAAGGAGAGTAATGGAAGCCTGAAGAAATGGAAGCCAGGGATGCTTGGATCCACTACGAAAGTTGATGTTGAGGAAGAAGACAAAGGCCTCTTTCTTCTTACCTCACTTTCAGATTTGTCTTAGAACCTTGTGAAACTTTACTGCATGGAAAGATACAGTAAGTTTGAAGCAGGTGCAAGCTTCTTTGGTGTGGAATGATACACAAAATAGACAACAGGTTCAGATCTGGTTTCGGAGGCAAGGGTCCATAGTGCTACGGTGCAAGGCCGGGTTGTAGCAAGTTTGTGGCATAAGGCTTCGAGTATGCCCTCTAGGTACTCGAAGCAACACTTTTCTTGGTGATGTTTGGTCTCAAGTGTTACAGGGGTTTTGCAACAGGTGGAGCTATGGGATTCGCAGGTGATGAGATGGTCCTGAGGTAGGAGGAAGTGTGGGAATTTTGTCTGGCTCGATGGGTTGTTGCTGGAAACGGGCGCGCTGACGAGTTTCCAGGTTACAGACAATGAAGAGGAGAAAAACCTGCTGGAGGAGACTAGGATGTGTCGAGATCTTGTCTAAAGCTAAATCGTGATTTTTAGCTTGCAGCAGCTGCACATGCATTGGCAGTGACTGAATCGGAACAGGACCAAAGAGGTTGATTCAGGGTGTGTATGCTGGTACGTAAGGCCAATGGACTTTGGTGATGGGTGCAAGGATTTTTGCACAGTATATTCGCCAAGGTGGAGATTGTTGTGATTGGCTCATATTTTGAGCTGGCAACAATTAAGTGACTTTGTGTGTTATGCTTTCGGAGTATTGACCAAATGTGGTCATATCTCATTTCGGCTAATAGTGGAAGACAATGATGATGTTTGCTTGGGATTCTTTTGTTTTGGCCTTTTTTCTTGGTTTCCCATTTACATGCCACGTGAGTGGCTTTGGGGTGGGTTTGAGTAAAATGCAAAGGGAGCATGATGCATCATCATTATATCTGTGGAAAAAGGAAAGGTTGATTCATTTTTCTTCTCCATTTATTTGCAAAGAGCTGAAGAAGAGAGTGTGTGAAAGAGAGCATCCAAGGGGGAGAGCATTCGGCTCTCCCATGGGAAAACATGGGCACGTGTGAGAGAAATCAAGAGAGCTAGAGTGAAAGATCTCTGGTGAAAGAACTCTTGGGATAGAGTAAGGCTTTTGGGAAAATTCTATGAGTGGGTGGACAAGGAATTCAAGATTGGGTTATGTCAATTTAACTCATGTATACTTGTACTGTTATTTTCATAGTGAAGAGCAATATCTCTCCGGGGACGTAGGCAGGATTTTTGCCGAACCTCGTAAATTTCTCGATGTCTTTATTTCTTGTATTTTATTCTGTCAACTGAGTGTGATTTGGTGATGTTGTAATCTGAATCTCGTTTCCGCACTGACAAACGGGCCAAGGCACAACATAGTCTTCAGGCAAATTATATTTATTCCCATCACAATCATTTGCACTATATATTATTAAGAAAAATTTCATTCTCAAATCGAAGGATCTAAAGCTAATGTTTTCATCTAAATTTTAAGTTAAACAAATCTACTCTCTTGCTAACTTTTTGATGATACTATTACTCAGCTTAAGCATATCCTTCAAGAAACGAAGTTTGTAACTGGTGCAATTGCAACTAACGATCTTGTCGCAAATGATTTGCTAATCTGAATCAATATTTTGCCTAAAAAAACCTCATTTTTCTAACAAATTGGAATGTTTAGTGGAGGTTGATGTCGTGGGTTTTTCTTGTAATCTTTTAATTCTTTATGAAATTAAAAAGCAACATAATTTTTTCTGCATTTTTCATGCTAAGCTTCGGGATTTTTCATGGTTTTAATATTGTCAAATATTGTTTGGTTATCTTTTGGTTAGGAGTTCCTTTCATTGGTTTAGGGAGATCTTTTCTGATGCTCATGTTCATTATGAAAAAAAAATGTTATAGTTCATGCTTTTGTTGATTAAATTGAGTATGTATAAACATTAATAACATGTTTCCAATTATGAATTATTTATGCGTTTATTAATTATGGATGAATCAAAACATAAATGTTGTCGACACAAAATAAAGAATTATTTTTTGCCACTTAATACTACATAGTGTCACATTCCGGCCCGGGCTCCCACCACATCCCGAGTCCTGCCTCTGCCGTAGCACGATATTGTCCGTTTTGGGTCCCGACCACAAACTCACGATAACTCGCTTAACTTCGGAGTTCCGATGGAACCCGAAGCTAGTGAGCTCCCAAAAGGCCTCATGCTAGGTAGAGATGGGAATATACATATAAGGCTTACATGATCCACTCCCATGGGCGATATGGGATGTTACATATAGTGTTATTCCTCTTCACTTGTAAGTGAGAGATCTTAGATTCGATTTCCATTAAAGACAAACTTGAACCATTATTATGGTAAGCCCATTGTGAGGTTTGGCCAACTCCCTCACCCCCTTAGTTTAGAGACTATTGTTTGTTTAAAAAAAATAATAATCTTTTGATTTTGGAGGAATATGGCTCATTTGGAAATACTTTTAAATTATTGAAAGCGCTTTTAGAGAAAAAAAAATGGGATTTGTTATTGGCATTCCAAAAATCTTATTTTGCACTCCAAACTTTCTATAATTAGAGAGAGAAAATACACTTGTGAGAAGTGTAGAATGAGAATTTAGAAGTGTTAATAGCACTTCCCAAAAAAATTTGGAACAAATATTTATTGGGAATGCAAGTTAATTTTGGAAAGGAACTTGAAGTGTTTATGGAACCCAAAAATGTTTTATGTAAAATTGTTTTTAATCATTTAAAAACACTTTCCAAATCAGCCGTTAGATTGTTTGAGGGGATGTAGTATTTTGATTTATAAATAATACGGAATCATGACTTCTATTATTTTTACCCATTATACCCTCGCATTATTCTGAAATTTTAACCTAACGTCTCATAGGGCATCTTAATAATCAATCTGGTTTTCATTCATGCTCTGATTTCATACATATTTTGTTATTATACAAGGATATTATGAAAACTAAGGAAATGTGCGAATAAATTGGTTACAAACTCGTCATCTATGAGATTTGAACTTAAGACCTCTCACATATAAGTGAACAGAAACACTATTAAACCATAGTACTATGGGCTAGTTTGGTGTTGTGCTTCTAAAAAAAAAAAAAACTGTTTTTGTTATGCTATAGAAATAATCAGCTATGAAATAAAGCAGTTAGGTGTGACTATTGGTTTTGTTTGGATTCACAATTTGGTTCTGAAATCAAGGGCGATGACTGTGATTGTTGAAACTGGGAGTATTGAACAATGTCATGGCAGGGTCGGGGACAACGTGCTTCTAGGTGACCAGCACTCCTTCAAGTTGAGGTCGACAAGATCGGCGACGACGTCCTCGAGGGTAAGATCACTATTTAAAAAAAATCATCAAAGAATACCCTTCATATGCCTACTTTGAAAAAATGGAACTTTAACGAAAAGCACCTGGTACTGTTCACTTTAACGAAAAACCACATTTGTACACTAAAAGGTCAATCCTGGTACTATTCACTTTACCCTTTATTTTGTCCTTATCATTAAAACTCAAAGTTTTCAAGCCCTTTTCATTAGTTTTCCTTTAAAAAAAAGCAGGTTTCGAGAAGCAACGTTTTTGCTGCTTCAGCTTTCTTTGCTTTTCTGCTTTGAATGGCCTTGACTTTGAAAAAAAACTGGATTTTCTTTAGTTACAAAACACAAATTGGATTTCAGCTTTTTTCCACCCCTTATATAAAAAAAAAATAGTTAAACAATTTTTAACTAGTATTATATATCCTCCAGTTCCATATTATTAGTAAATAACTTCAATGAAAATCATTATTTATTGATCTAATTCCTCTGTACTTCAATTCCTCTAATTTCAATTACAAATTTTAATATGGAAATGTTATTGGCACTCCAAAAATCTCATTCTACACTCTTCACAAGTGTATTTTTCTTTCATAATATTAATATAGAAAGTTTAAAATATAGAATGAGATTTTTGGAGTGCTAATAACAATTCATTTTTAAAAAACGTTGGGCTTTAACAATGGTAAGATGGGTTCGAAAAAAAAAAAACAATAGTAAGATGGGCCGGCACCCAGTATGATTTTTGCATTGTTTTTTTGGGCTTTGCCACTTCCGTAACCCAAAAAATTAAAAAGTCCATTCTAACCCCAAACGAGAAAAACCACCGGGAAAATTGCCCTTCGTTTTGGCCGACTTTGGCTTCTATAAATACCCTCGCGAAAACCCTTCCCAGAAAGAAAAATGAAAAAAGAAACTTTCCCTGCCGCTATCGGGCTTCTCACGAGTCCGAGTCGGACCTGACTGTTTCAACCGGATTCATATATCTTCACTATCTGGTTACGATTACTCCGACCGTTCGTATACCCGTAATCCAGCTCCGATCGATTCGCCATGGGAGACTTCAACAGCGATGCCTTCATGCGCGGCCAAAACGCCGCCGTCCAGGGCCGAACCAAGGCCCACAACCGCCAAAATGTTGTTCAGCTCAAAATGGTTAGCCTTAATTAGGGTTTCTTGTTCTTAGTCGTGAAGGTTTAAGTTTTTATTTTTATTTTTAAAGCCTGAGTTTTTAATTAAAAAATGCTTGTTTAGTTATGCTATTTTCTTTGATTTAAAAAAAAAAAAAAAACCCCTAGCTAATTATTTACTAATTTAGCTTATATCTGTTATTTTATCATGCTTTCTTTGATTTCGATGTCTTCCCAATTGTTAAGGATTTGATATAAATAATAACGTTACTTGATTATATTTTCGATACATTGAAATTTTTTTCTTATTTGTAAATCTTTTATCATAATTGCACGGTGGCGTGAGTTGGAACATGTGGCTAAAACACCAATCAATTAGATCAATTGACGAAAACGCCCCTGGCTTAAACACAATCTATCGGCACATTGATATTATTGACTTGAATAAAAAAGTCTTTTCCGGCCCGAAAAGAATAAAAAGTACCGGGAAAATAATGTAATTACCCGAAAAAACTCACACACAATATTGGCTGTCTATAAATACCTTCGCGAAAACCCTTCGCAAACTTTCGCCGCCGCTATCTGGCTTCACCAGTCCGACTCTGACCCCGACCCGACTGTAGCAACCGGATCCGAATCGGCCATAGATTTATGCAATCCTCACCATCTGAGTACGAGTACTCGGACTCGTAACCCAGATCCGATCATCGCTTCGCCATGGGAGACTTCAACAACGATGCTTTCATGCGCGGCCAAAACGCCGCCGTTCAGGGCCGAACCAAGGCCCAGAACCGCCAAAATGTTCTTCAGCTCAAGATGGTTCGTCCTAGGGTTTTTTATGCTATTCACGTGAACGTTGGTTTTTAATTCTCATATTGCTTGATTTATTATGCGATTTTCTTTGTTTTTAGAAAAACCCTAGTTAAATTTTGGACTTATCTCAGTAATTTTATCCTGATTTATCAAATTTCGATGTATCTGGGCAGTGTGTAATTGGTAATTTTGTAAATATTGTGAAGTTCTGGATGTATTTTGTAAGGGATGTTGATTGGGAAAATTTCGTTTGCAGATTGGGCAGAGCCACCCCACTGGTCTAACAACCAACCTTTTGAAGCTGTTTGAGCCTCGACCGCCGTTGGATTTCAAACCGCCTCCGGAGAAGAAAAAGTGCCCACCTTTGACAGGTCTGTTAACCATCTTAAATGGGGGCTGATTGGTTTCAATTTGGTATTAATTTCTATCTTGTAGCTGTTAATTTTGTAAAATGTTTTTGTTTATTTTTGGATAATGAAGGGGTAGCGCAATTTGTGAGTAAGTTTGCGGAGCCTGGAGATCCTGAGTATAATCCGCCTGTCCAAAAGGGTGAAACTCCTGTAAGTTTTTTACTTGAATCACTTGTATGAGGACTTAGCGATATGAAATCTTTGTTTGTACTGACATGTGTCTGTTTTGCTTTGTGGGATTCAGACACAAAGAAGGGCTCGAATACACCAGTTAAGGCTTGAGAAGGGTGCAGCAAAGGCTGCGGAAGAGTTAGAGAAATGTAATCATCTGATTCTTTTCTTGATTGTAAGAGTTTGGAGTCTCGGAGTTTCTGTTTTCTTGTCTTCCTAACATCTGTTTTCGTGCAGATGATCCGAATAATGACGCAAGCATTTCTGGAGATCCATACAAGACTTTGTTTGTTGCTAGACTCGTAAGTAACTTTTTTTTGTTTAGTTTTGGATTTCCTTCTCGTATTCTTCATATTCGTTAAGATTGACTTGTGATTCTCCCTGTATTCTTGCAGAATTATGAGACAACTGAGAGCAGAATCAAAAGGGAGTTTGACGTTTATGGTCCAATCAAGCGGGTAGGTATTTTGTTTGAGAAACCCTAAGGGGGTTCGGTAAGAGGTTCACATGTGCTGTAGCCTATCCTTGATTTCCCTTTACAAATTGCAGATTTTCTAATCTTTCAATTTGAAAAAGCATGCTGGAGTCTCAGGGTTTTCAGGATTGTTTTCCTCTTTCATATGTTCTTCAAAAGATATCTGGGGTACATATTTACAAATTTTATGCATGATAAACTGAATTTGAAAAATCCACCTTTCCACCTTTCAACCAACTTGTTTGACGTCAACAATGCTTTTACCATAAATGGTAATGCATAATCACGCCTTTCAAGTTTGTTCTCTCTGATTTAGTTTTATTGTTAGTGGAGTCTATGCAAATTTGTATTACTAATACAGGTGTCTGCAAATATACTGGTAATGTCTTGCGGGTTTGTTTAAATCCTTCCATAGCTTTCTTTTTGAAATGGTTTAATATAGAGATCTTGGAATTGGGTGTTTCTAGGGACATTAGCATTAAGTTTTAACATTGAAGAAGTATACCTGGTAAGCAGTGAGTACTCATCAATATCTTTGATTTCTACCTACTTGATTACAAACATGGTGTTTCGTCCTGCACAGCAGCCTTGATATTAACACAGGTGTCACTGCAAGTATTATGGTAATTTCATATTGGTTTGCTCCATCCATAGATCCCTCTTTGATGTAGTATTATTTAAGAGATCTTGGAAATGGGTTTTCATAGGATATATATTCTTTTTAAGTCCTAACATTCAAGACTATCCCTGGTAAGATGCGGTAATTGGTTCACATATGGTATCTTTGATTCCATAATTTCTCCCCATCCAACTTCAAAGATGCTTCATCCTGCATAGCAAAGCTGATTACTATAAGTTGAGCAGAGCAGCGATGCATTGTGTCTTTTGGCCTTTATTTCAAGCAAGAAAAGGAGTCCCCAACTTCTGTTCTTTTCCCTGCACTGGGTAAATCATGTAGGGAGTATTACCATTTCTTTCATCTTTGAACTTTTAGTAACGTGCATTTCCTGCTGAAACTTTTACTTGTGGCTTTAAAGGCTCTCAGAAAAGATACATCAGCAGCTTGATGTCATGTTATTTTCAATAGTAGTTATAAGTTTTTATTATTTAAAAAATCTCCCTGGTAAGGGGACAATAGTCTATCCAACTGGTAAATTGGCCACAAATGTCCGTTTTTCTGCAACTCTAGCCGGTGGTGATGCATCTTGCGATGGAAGCTGTATGATTTAAAGGTGAGCACGGCTAAAGAGGCATAGTGCCTGTCTGCCGTGCCATTTAGGATTCAATATTTAAGATTTTGTAGTATGATGCCTTGTTGTAAATGTTAAAACATCTATGCATATTTCTTAGTCTTGAGCAGTCTTTGCTTAAGATCTGAATCGTCTATTTATCTGGTTTATTAATTTTATTATTATTTGAGATTTCAGGTTCGATTGGTCGCTGACAAAGAAACAAATAAACCTAGAGGCTATGGATTCATTGAATACATGCATACAAGGGACATGAAAGGTTTGTCTTATTACTATGCACTAAACATTACCATGTGATTGGTCCTTTGTTTCTAATGCTAGCTATATATGTCACAGCTGCATACAAACAAGCTGATGGGAGGAAAATTGAGGGAAGAAGGGTACTTGTTGATGTTGAACGTGGTAGAACAGTTCCTAACTGGCGACCCCGCCGACTGGGTGGTGGGCTTGGAACTACCAGAGTTGGAGGTGAAGATGTCAATCAGAGATATTCTGGAAGGTATTTAGTTCGATTCCAACATTTCCACACTTCTGTCATTGGAAAACTGACGTGCTTCTACACTTACTTTGTTACAAGAATTTATCTTTTAAGTGTATCTCAGGAGCAGTTTCTTTGTCTTCCTATTATGTAATTCAGCATAATATTAAACTGTTTTACTGTTTCTTTGTTGACTTCCAAGTTCTATGTGTTCAGTTGTTTAAGTTTGTTTTCTCATATAATTTTCTAGGCGTCTTTGCTAACTATAACATTCATCATTATTTGCTTAGGGAGCAAGTACAATCTGGAGGACAACCCCGGTCTGAGGAGCCAAGGGCACGCGAGGAGCGACATGTAGACTTGTAAGATTTTCCAAATTGTTGTGCACACTGTCTAAAGGTTTTAGGCGTAGTGAAACTCAACACAAAATTTTAAAAAATAATACAACTTGATTCTAATTATAAAAAACAAAAAGAAGAAATTGCGGTGCTGCATAATGGTTATGGATTGCTTTTTACTTGTATACTATAATGATAGGTAATCGTGAGAGGCATAAGTTTTGCAACAATAGTCTTGAAGTTTTTGTTCTGTCATATGTTATGCTTTGTAAGTGTTGCCTAAGTTTTCATAGATTGATGCAATTTCAGATTTTGCTTTCTATATGATTGATGTTGAGTGAAATGATTTTCAGGGATAGAGAAAAATCCCGTGAAAGAGGAAAAGAGAAAGAAAAGGAAAGAGAACGGGAGAAGTCCCGCGAGCGCTCTCGTGAACGCTCCCATGACAAGTCTAGAGACCGTGATCACAGGGAAGATAGGCACCACAGAGATCGTGATAGAAACAGGGACAAGGACAGGGATAGGGAAAGAGATCGTGGTGGTCGTGATCGGGATCGTACTCGTGAACGAGGACGGGATCGTGGTCGTGACTATGAGCATGGTCGTGATCGAGATAGAGACCGTGATCGGGAGCGTGATCGTGATCATCGCTCTAGAGACAGGGAGAGGGATTATGAAGTTGGGGAGCCTGAGCATGATCGTGGCCGTTCCCATGACCGTATTGAATCAAAACATGAGAGGGTCCGACATGGGGATCGGGAGCGGGGTTATGACCACACTGCCCAAGAAGACGACCAGGGTTGGTTTGAACAACCTGGGCATGGCCATAGGCACTCAGAGCCAGATGATGATGCTGAGCCCTATGAGCATCATCGTAGCCAGTATGATCAATTGGAAGTCCAGCATGATGATGATCGCTACAAACAGTATCCGGACAATGCTCATGATCGCTATGATCGAATGGAAGAGGATGATTACCATTATGAACAAGCACCAGCTGATCCCCGTGAAAGGGAGAGGGGTGGAGATGTCGAGCGAGATTATCAGAGGTCATCTAGATCACTATCTCGAGACTACAATGAGTATTAAGACTGAAATTCGAAACCTCTCAAGCCTCCGGACCTCACTGGTGAGATATTCACTCTACTTGGTTTGATCAGTGCTCGAGATTGCGTCTTATGCAGCAGCTACTTTCTGTGGTGTGGATCTTATTGCTATATTATTTTTCTCGTTCTTTCGTCTAATTTAGAGACCGTGTTTAAATGTTTTGCGATGAAGATGTCTTTAAGTTTTGGAAATATTGTGTGTGTTGTTGGGTGGTTTTAATGTTTGAACGTTTGTGCTGGTGGAAATAGGTAGAGATTTTTCACCTCTTATCAAATTTGTGAGAATTAATTGTTTCCTGTGACATTTTATTTCTCTTGAAAATCCTGTTAATTTTGGGCTGGAATGGTATGAGGTCCAAACTGTATGCCGAATTGGTTTTCTTTTAGGCAAAATTTCTCGTTGCCCACCCACAATAGTTGCATCGATTAAATATGTTTTCCCTGTTACTGTTACTTTTTGTTTTCGTGAAGAAACGGGGATTGTGGCATTGTGAGTTAATTACGTATTGTCATGTGTTTTTATATTTTTTTTCATGAGATTGTGATTAGTGGATAGTGCTCGTGCCATATAAGTCCCTCTCCTTCAGGTTGGCTTCCAAACTACTCACACACTAATATGCATTTTAATCCATCGCGTGATTAGTTTTCGTTCTCATTTGGAAGGTAGGGTTAAACGTTATTTACTTTGTTTGGAAGTGGTAGTGGGGTGATTATAAAGAGCAAAGAAGCAGCCAAAAGCCATGAAGCAGCGATGAAGCTTCATATAGACAGACTAGACGCTAGAGCACCACCGCCTCGCCTAACGCTTGTTCGTGCAGCCGCAGCTGCTTCAAAGAAACCGCTTCTCGGAAATTACTCGGAAGCCGCTTCTCGGAAATTTCTCGGAACCCGATATTCTTGTTTTGCGGTAAAAATAACAAAAATTTCGACAGAGCAACTTGATTAGAAAACAAGTAACAATGATTATGCTTTTATTTGTGATGTCATTTATTTACATTTCTTATTAGTCCCAACTTTTTTAAATTCAAACCAATATATGGGAGAACATAACCGGAACCTCATTTATTTATGGTTAGTAAAATAAAGAATTCTTGTAACGTGTCACGTCAGTTGGTCGATCATTGTAGTCCCATAAACGAGGGATGAACCCACTTGTCATTATCATATCATGTTACTTAACTTCAACGAAGCTTCAAATCAGAAAGATGATGGATTGTGGACAAGAAAACACGGGATTTAGAATTTGGGACCTGTTCACTAAATTTACCGAGAACTAGTCATTCTCACTTACGAAAGGAAATGAAGGGATTATTGTCATTTTATTATTTTCTTGAATCCTTGATAAAATAATTAAAGACACAAAAATGTGAAAGTTTTTTACCAAAGTTTAGAGAGTGCATTTGGTGTTTTCTCCACTCTGCTTTCACTTTCATCAATTTCAAGTTGGAATGATTGAGAATCCAAAAACAATAGTACGCGATATTATCAATCAACTCATATTATAACATGTGAATTTATTTAATAATACCTTACTTTTAACTATTTCATGTCAAATTTTTAGTCCAGTTATATTATAACACGTGAATTAGTAACACCATGTGACAGTGTGCTGATACACTCAAATCAAATTCTCATATATATATATATATATATATATTATGTATGTTTGTATGCATGCATATATGTATGTATGTATGATTTGTGGGTCCCAAATGGGAGCGTAAATTCGACATGCAAATAAATAGAGAGAAGAGTTATAAATGTAGGGAGCAGGCATTCTTCATGTTTTCCTCCACCCCTACACTGCACTTGAAAAACACAAGAAATTAAGAGGAGTTGAAAAAATAAATTCAACCGGAGAAATATACATACAGAAAATAGCTTCTGAGATTCATAACTTCCTTGCCTTGTTATCAAATTTTCATCTTTCTTATACCCGAATGGCTCGAAACATGTTCACTCAGAGGGCAGTAAAAATGTCAGCAGGAGCAGCAGCATTAGCAATAGCATGGGCAGTATTCACTGAAGTTGCCAGTGCAGAAAGGCCTCTGAAAGATGAGATCATCAAGCCGAAAATTTTTGTTGAGCAAGAAGCAATTTTTGCTAGAGTCATTAATTTTCTATGGCAGGCTGGAGGCTCTTCTTATCAGCCTGTTTGGCCTGTGAGTTGTTCAATCTCTCTTTACACACCGAAAGATACAGCAAGACAGATATGGTTTTCAGCTATTGTGGTACTTTTTGAATTTTTGACATGTATGTGTATATTTTGGTTGAGCAGGAGATGAAGTTTGGTTGGAAAATTGTAGTAGGTTCGGTAGTTGGATTCTTTGGTGCTGCATTGGGTAGTGTTGGCGGTGTTGGTGGTGGAGGAATTTTTGTTCCGATGCTCGCCTTGATTGTTGGCTTCGACCCCAAGTCTTCCACCGCGATTTCCAAGTGTCAGTAATCACCTCTCAATCTTTCCTTTAACTTGTTAGTCTAAAGTTTTAATCTGGAATTTACTGTTTGGGATTAAATTTAGATCGAAATTAATCAACTGTTTGGCATTCTTTTGGTGATACAGGTATGATTATGGGAGCTGCAGGATCAACAGTATACTTTAATTTGAGGCTTAGGCACCCAACATTGGACATGCCCCTCATAGATTATGATCTGGCGTTGCTCTTTCAGCCCATGCTCATGCTAGGGATCAGCATCGGAGTTGCCTTCAACGTCGTGTTTGCTGATTGGATGGTCACAGTTCTACTTATCATCCTCTTCTTAGGTCTGTAGTAACATTCCAAACACGAATTTCTATCAGTTTTGTTTTCTTTTGAATAGTTATTTGATCAAATGGAATACGAACTCTGCGAAAAGAAAAGCAGACCAAAGTTTTTCGATATATCTATGCATTCCCAAAAGTCTTAATAGATATTCTTCCGAGTTGTGGCAGGTACAGCAGCAAAAGCTTTGATGAAAGGCGTGGAAACATGGAAGAAGGAAACAATGATGAAGAAGGTAAGATATGTATTCACGGGAAATGATTTCCGCACATAACCCTTTTCTCCCTTTTAGCACCTTCCCAGTTTTCTTGGTCTTTGTGTATTGAATAAATCAAAGGTCATCAACGGACAGAAATAAAGAGAGGCGGAGAAGGAGAAAAAGGGTGTACGAAAATCACTTCCCTTTCCACTTAGCTATTCTAGAGCTATCAATGAGTGTGTTCTTTCCAACCTACTAACGAGGAATCTGATGTTTTACTGACTTTCAGGAAGCGGAAAATATGTTAGAGTCGGAGACCAAACAGGATGGTGAGTGCTCATTCGTCTCATCCAAACATCCAAATGAGGACTCAAAAGAAAATTAATAATAGTAAACACTTATTCAATATCTATATGTCTGTAGATGTTTGAGAACAATGGTCTAACTAACCTCCTTAGTTGCAGAGGGTTCTGGGGAAGACTACAAACCGCTACCTAGCGGTCCAGCTTCATCACAAGATGAGGAGGTGAGTCCCCACTCCCAATCATATCATTAGACCTCTTGCGCAGTACTCTTGGATTCTTGGTTATCTGCAATTTTTCAAGTTTTGTAAGTTTCTGTTGTGTTGAATTTATGAACAATTCTATCCAGGTACCAATAACGCGAAACATTTACTGGAAAGAGTTATCGTTGCTCATGTATGTCTGGGTGGCTTTTCTTATTGTCCAGATTGTTAAGGTTAGTTTTACTACCAATCTAGTCAATAGCTAGTAGACCTTGGATTTCTTCAGCTACAAGTTTCATATTTTTAATTCCTCTGCCTTCATTCCGAAAGCACAATGGTTTTTTACTTTTGTTACTGAATGAAACCTTCTGAATCTTTATGCAGACATATACCGAAACTTGCTCCACCACGTTCTGGATCATGAACTCATTGCAGGTAACGATAAAAACTTGAGTAGTAAGTATGAGAATTCTCCTAAGAACTCGAGAACATGAAATATGAACTTTAATACTCATATTTTCCCCAATAATGATCGGCTAGCACAAACATAATAGTTTTATCATTGCATACATAGGTACCAATTGCACTTTCTGTAACGCTCTTCGAAGCCATATGCTTACGCAAAGGCACCAGAGTGATTGCATCAAAAGGAAAGGAAATCACAAACTGGAAGTTGCATCAGATTTTTCTCTACTGCAGCTGTGGAATTGTAGCTGGTATGGTCGGTGGACTACTTGGCTTGGGAGGCGGTTTCATCTTGGGACCCCTTTTTCTTGAATTGGGAATTCCTCCTCAGGTATAGTTCAATGCAAGTAGGGAACCACGTACTTATAACTCGTAGATTGTTGTCTTACTTCTTCAATATGGGATTTTGGTCATTCACATCCACTGCTTGTGTTGAGCTGCATTTCATCTGTAACCTACATAATCGGGTATCATAACAGAAAATGTCGCGAACTGAAATTATCTGCTGCAACTGAAATAAGCAGAAAAATGAAACCAGACAGATGAATTTTTATATCGTTTTCATTTGCAGGTAGCAAGTGCTACATCCACCTTTGCAATGCTATTCTCATCCTCCATGTCAGTTGTACAGTACTACCTTCTCAACCGTTTCCCAGTCCCCTATGGTAAGCAAGCAATAATCTAACTCCAGATAAACCCGGAAAACAAAACTAATTGTTTCACGTTTACTCTGTGTCTGTGCTGCAGCTGCTTATTTCGTGGTGGTTGCAACAATTGCTGCATTTACTGGTCAGCATGTAGTGAGAAAGATCATTGCAGTCCTTGGCAGAGCATCCATCATCATCTTCATTCTAGCTTTGACAATCTTTGTCAGCGCAATCAGCTTAGGTAACGAATTATAACACGCGTATACTTATTAATACTGCCCTATAGCACATCCTCTCAACAACGCGTAACTTTGTTTTGATGTATATTTCAGGCGGGGTGGGCATAGCAAACATGGTTGAGAAGATGGAGAATCGAGAGTACATGGGATTTGAAAATTTCTGTGTCCCATCTTAAGGATATGTTGTGCAATACGATTATTGCCGTGGAGTTTCTCAACCCAAGATAACTACATCCACACTTCAATCTACTTTTCATATATGTTTGTATATTTTTCCATTAATTTTCCGGCAAAGGTTGCGTGTTATTCTTGTACTGGACTTTTAAACAATCAATTGTTCCGATCAGTTTCTAATATTTGCGCATTACAAGTCGTGACTGAATCTTGGAGATTGTAAGTAAAATCGAACAGCCACAAATGTCCCGCACCCAACCCAGCCGGAAAATTGTCAAGGCTAGAACGTAGATGACGATGGATAATCTCCCAAGGACTGCAATTAGCTTTCTCACTACATGATTGCTGACCAGTAAATGCAGCAGTGGTTGCAACTAATACCAAAAAAAAACAGCTGCAACACAACGTGATTTTTTCTTCGTGACATTTTCTGTTATGATACCGGAGTACATAGGTTACAGATGATATCGTTTGGGGTTGTGTGGCTCAATACAAAACATGAATATGAATGGCCAAAACCCTACATCGGAAAAGTACCATAACAGTCTACAACTTACACAGTTCATTACAATGATTTAGAACCATTAGCACTTAAAAGTAGGTTGAAAATAAAAGGGCAGGTCTATTGATACAACCTAATCAATGATCACCTGCTCATTGAAACAATCCATGTTGCTAGTTCCGTCTTTCCTCTCACGCGTTCTTCTCATCATAACGTTCCTCTTTTCCTGCCTCAAAAACTTTTGGATTAGGGTACACATGGTTTGTAACTATGGACATAGTTTACCGGTTGCTTGTCTTGTACTCGTTTCTCTTAGAGTTGCCTCATCTCTTAACGTGTCAACCTCAGCTCTCAACAATTCAACCTCAAATCTTAACGTGTCAATCTCATCTCTTAACCTGTTAGCCTCATATCTCCTGTTGGTCATCTCGAGCTGCATTACGCCTTGGAGAACCATTAGTTGCGAAAATTTTGCACATTCATTGTTGGAAGTGCTTCGTTTCTTCTTTACCGCCTTGGAACCCTTTTTCTCAATAGGCCACTTAGCACAAGAGATAAGAGCAATCAGACCACTAAAAACCTCCATAATAATAATCACAACGATACCAATTTAATCTAACTTTACAATGATACAAGAATATCCATGTATAACTACGATCTACAAACCCAACCCGATTGAATAAGATATAAAGTTTAAGCAAGGGAAGCACGAAATCTCTTACATCATAGTAGTTTACGGAAGCTTTTCTTTTCATATCGCAAACTCTCTTTTCGTCAACAATTCCTCTGTGCTGCTAGAAAGTTCGAAATGTAAAACACCACCGCTATTAGATTGAAACAATTCAGACAATTTATCGAATCCAACATAAACCACAAATCTATGACATCACATCTTCGCTGAAACAATAGATCGAGCACGCGGTGCGCATCAAAATATCAATGTCTAACGGCGAAACAAAAACTCAGAAATTTCACATGTTCACCCAAATTCTTCCACATTGATACTATCCTACGAACCAAAACTGAGCGACGGAGAAACGAAGCAGAAACAAACGCCGTTAGATTAGACAGAACACAGAAGTGAAAGCAAACCTCGTCCTCAAGAACCGGATCCGGAGAGTCTGCTGAGGAGGAGGCATCGTCATTCTTCGTCGCCATTGCAAAGTCTACAAGCGAGGAACAAACATTAATTACAAAACAAAAATTACAAACTAGACAAAAGAAACTAACAAAAAATTGAATTAAAAGGCATAAAATGTGGGAATTTCGAACTCGAACCTTACGGGTTTTATCTCAGAGCGAACCGGAGTGATCGAGAAACGGCGGCGGAAGAGTGAAGAAAAGCAGCGGTTTCCGTGACTTACAGCGAAGGAGTGAGCATCGACATGGTGGAATTATATAAAGACTACAATCCAAAAAAATAAATAAATACTTGGCGGGAAATGGGGTTTGAATATTTACTTTGGCGCCAACGATTTACCTTCGTTTTAAGTTTAACGAATGCTTAATGATTAAAGTGGCTACAAGTCTTTTAAAATCTTGTTTTTTGGTCAAACGATAAATTTTAGGGAACTTTAACGAAAAGCATCCAGTATTATTCACTTTAACGAAAAACCATATTTTTACACTAAAAAGTCAAATCCTGTACTATTCACTTTACCTTTTATTTTGTCCTTATCATTAAAACTCAAAGTTTTCAAGCCCTTTTCATTAGTTTTCCTTAAATTTTATTAGATTAGATGTTAGATTAACTAATGATGAGATTTGACCTCACGCCGTCATACAAAGGTTCGACACATTTCCATCATTGTGATAAAAGACTACTTCCGCCTTAATAAAAAAATTAAAATAAGTTCGTCAAATTAAAAACATATATATGTATAAAAGAGGTGGCTGGATTTATGAACGGCTATGAGGTGAGTACCTCTATCCCCATAAACAATTAACAATAATCACAATTGAGTTTAAATCCTAATTTTTCTGCCATATGTGCTATCTTTCGACTAATTTATCACCATGAGGACTGGACTAGCATTCCAATTAGGCCTTTAATGGATGGATTCTACTACTAATTGGACTGAGACATTTTGTGTTAAACCCTCATACAGTTGTTCTAAGTTGGGGTAGTACCATGTAATTATTATTGGATCGTTGGTCCATCTTCTAAAACTTTATAAAACAAACATCTATTTGTTGACATCTTGAATCATATTTTGTAGATTACATGATGTGGCAGTTGATGCTTGCATTCATTCTTTAAATCATTAAAAAATTCAACAGTTAACCTTCACATCACGTGATATACAAAATATGATATCTCTAGCATTTTCTTTATGAAAATTTGACTCCCTCGTCCATTTTATGCAAGTATGTACTTAATCTTAATGTATTTGGACAAAATTCATAATTTATAAATTTACGAGAACCAAATATAGTGTGTGACTAAACATGAAAATTTATAACTTTAGTGTGAAAAAAATATGTTGGAATATTGAGGTCATAAGTTTCAACTTTTTTAATAAGGCAAACGATTAAGCAACATGCAACGTAAGATCACATAAAACAATTTTGTCTGATCTTCTGCATATGGCATTATGAAAAAACAAAGTGGGACTAGCTACTTGGATGGGTGGAGATATAATGCAAGGTCCTGTTATTGTGTGAGGTTAGACGTATATTCCATCTTCTTTGATCTACTCACCCAAGAGAGAGAATCCTGGAGATTCTCCAATCACATCTGTTTATCATACATCGTGAGGTCAATTTTTGTCAAGTACTGTTTATGTTTAATTTTAAATAAAAAAATTTACAATAATTTATCACCGCATGATATACGATGAACGAATATGATTAAAGAATCCCTAAGATACTCACAAAGAGAATCCGACGAAAATCCTCCTGACTCACCCAATAATTGACCCGTTTCACTTATTTTTGTACAATCCCATATATCGAAAGGACAATGATTGTCTGCCCTCTCACTTCTCGTGCCCTCCCATGCCCTCCTATTTGTGTGGTCACGTTTAAGTCATGTCAACATTTTATATTACTATTCATTTTTGTCTTATTATCTCTATAAAAAAACAATATAAAATGTTGACGTGGTTTAACCGTGACCACACAAAACAGGAATGCACGAAAAAACACGAAAAATTGAAAGGCAGACAATCCTTGTCCATATCGAAGTCCGCATGCCGCATGCCGGATGCCAATCTTTTCTTTTTTCATTGAAAATGTTTTGCATGTGTTTTAAATTTTTAGTGGGTGCTTGATTATTGATTTTAACAGATTCGAGAAGAAAGTATATGTTTAACTTTTCTTTTAAATACTAGCCATATCGTATTATAATTTTATTCAAGTTACAAAATAAATCCTAAGCGCATAAAGCTAAGATCATTTTCAGTAGAGCTGTCAAATTTTATTTTTGTAGTTGATGTGGCAAAATAATATGACTTTTTTTATTAGCATCCCACATTAAAATTTAATATTAAATTACTTATTTACCTCATTATGCAATGACAATTTTGACCTTATTAGGTTTTAAAAAAATAAAATAAAAATCTCTAAATACACCCCAAATCACTTTTAGCGTATTATTTATTTTATCAACTATCAAAACCCTCCCACTCTCCATTGTTGAACAAAACCCTAATCAATGAAACTACAAACATGTTAATTGAGAAAAATTGATTTTGACGAATGGAACACGAAATCGATGTTTCGGAAGCTTCACATGAGGTAAGAGGGATCACAAGGAAAAATTAATATGTTCAATTGGATCCGAGTACTATTTAGATGCACAATAATACAAAGTAGTTCTTGGAGATATATAGATCATATACTCCAATGATACTTTAAGCGCTTTCTTTATGTATATTCTTATGAAAGTTATAAGATATCTTCATATTTATATATGAAGAAGGAAAAAAGATGTTACTACATAAAGAATTTAAGCTCAGTTATAGGATGGAGGACGTGTTCTTGGTCTCGAATAATCTGAGTAAATCCTGGGATTAGTTTTTCCATGGTTCTTGTCGCGATTAATCTTGCGCGGTACATGCCAAGAAATTGAAACAAGAGGCTTAGTAGCTGGTGCAACACCTGATTTTTGCATCTGTTCATCAGTTTCTTTGCTGCTAGGGTTTTGTTTTTCTCTAATAAAAGATGTGGGGTGTATGTACAAACTATAAGGTGTATATTGAGAATGTGGGGTGTGGGGGTATTATGGAAAAGGATGTGGTGTGTATTAAGATAATTTTTAAGTGAAAAAGCAAATGTGGGGTGTATTAAGTATGTGAGGTTTATTCAACAATTTGTGGGGTGTTAATATAATACGCCAATAATATTTTGTAAAGTTTTTATTCTAACTAAGATCTTAAGTTAAAATGCATTTTGGTTATTTATAAAATCAAGTAGGTCAAGATTTAATAATAAAATAATTAATAAGTGAACAAAAAATTGACCATGTCTTCAAATTTGACAGCAAAGTGGAGAATGTCAATCCATGTAGGATTTTGATATCTCCTTTAGAACTAGAAAATCATCAATTTTTTTGTCAAATGGGTCCACGTGGAATTTTTGACATCTCATTTAGAGACACTCTAAGCCTTATGCAAGTTGGTATTCTAGTCCAAAATAAACACATAAATGCCATTAGCAAAGGCCACATACTCAGTGAGTAAAAGAAATATAAATACATACAGTGGTATTCTAGTCCAAAATAAACACATAAATGCCATTAGCAATGGCCACATACTCAGTGAGTGAAAGAAATATAAATACATACATATATATATATATAGAGAGAGAGAGAGAGTAGTGATTTGTTTTGGTTAGAAGTTAAGGAGAGGAGAGAGAGAGCAGTGGGAGGAAAAATGAGGATTACCTGGATGTAAGGGAGAAAAAAAAAATAACAAAATTGTTTTGTGTGTGATTTACTATATTGCATATAACTTTTATTTTGGTTGTTTTTCTTTACATTTTGTTAATAAGGTTAAATAGTATTTTCACCATCTTTTAAACGATAAAAATGTTATATTAAATACGAAAAATTATAAAGATTTAGTGATCAGAACTCAAGTATTATCTTTTTCTAATACATATGATATTATCTACAAAGAGGGTGAGGGAGTGAACTAAGTTACAGTATATGTTAGCCATAATAACGTGATTCGAATTTACCTTTAGCGAAAATCAAATATAAAGCCTCTTACTTACAAGTGAAAAAAAAATTCTATTAGACTCTAGTATTAAGTGATAAAAAAAGAGGATGGTCCATGGAATACACCTAAAAAATTCAAAAGTTATTTAGCAAAAAGAAAACTAAATTAAAAAGAGTGGATACACCTAAAAAATCCAAAGAGTGACCTTAACAATGAGAGATTTTGTGTGTGATCGAAACATAGAGTGATATATTACGTATCACTATATAATAATATGATATGTATGTCGAAAAATTAATAATTTAAAATATAAAATTTCTCACAATTTATATAAAAATACGTGATATATCATTTTATCATATAACGTTAAGATCTGAAAAGTAGGGCAGACAAAACGCGCATGTTCCCCAATTTGGGAACCCACAAACCCACTTTAATACCACTGAAAAGACTAATTAAACCCTGTTCACCAACGCTGAAAGACTAACCAAAAAAGGCAAATCTTCTAACACCACCACGAAATGCGTCAGAGTAATTAACTACTAATCCTAGGGCAAATTCGAAACCCCATTTTCCCGCCCAGTCACACCCATCACTTCAAAAAATAAATAAAAAATGGATTTGGTGCTGTACTAACTTTATTACCTCGCTGCTCCTCCACTACCCTCCTCACTCTCTCTCACTAAATATCTCAAGCGCTTCTTCGCCTTCCCTCCTTTTGCTCTCTCCGCTTCCGGCCTCTGCCTCTGGAGCCCTCTGTCTCTCCGCGCCTCGCACTGAGAAGAAACCCTACCGCCGTACGGTTCTATTTCCTACATTTCATTTTTTTATTTCATTTTTTCAAATTTTTATTTTGATTTGGGTGAAAACTTCATTTCCACGGCTATTTCTGGAATTTGAATCCTAGGGTTTGTGTTTTCCTGATATCCTACAAATTTATTTGTCATTAGGGTTTTTTATTCGGTTTTTATGTACTTAGTGTTTGTTCTTCGCTTGTAGATTTTGAAATGGCGACGAAGAACGATCCGCCGGCAGATTCTCCGACTTCAGTACTCGAGGACGAGGTTTTCTTTCATTTATTCTGGAATGGCGTTTGTTTGTACAGTTTTTCTGTTTGGGGATTTGTAATTTGGTGGAATTTGGAGGAAAATGCTCGTAGAAAGACATGAATTGCTCGAAAAAAGGATTTTTTTTCCTGAAGAAAAATTATGCATGCTTGTGTTTGTGTGTCTCTATCTTTCATATCTTTCGAACTAAGTCTGAGTTAATACTCAATGAAATTTTAAGTTTTCGTTTGCTGTGAAATCGATGTTTGCACAGACATGCTCAATCTATTGTTTCTGTGAATTATTGTGTTTCATAGTGTTGGCAGACTTCTGGGCGACTAAGTAGATAGGTTTATTGTGCCGTTGTGTGGTTTTCGTTGGAGTTGATAAATTGGTCTAAATTTGTCTTAATTTTCTCGTGATGTTACATTTCTAGTTTCTTGACCCATATTTTTGTTGTTGATTGAATAATGTTGTTGCATTTTAATCATGTTTAAGGATGCATGTGAGACAAAGATCGACGTCAAGCTGACTGAGGTGGAGGAGAAATTGCTTGAAGAGCGGGTTAAGGAAGAGGAGTCAGAAATGGGAAAGGCACCAGAGCAGTTGCCCCACCTTAATGACACTCAGTATAACAAGTTGGATGAGCTCCTTACGCAAACTCAGCTGTACTCGCAGTTTTTGCTTGAGAAAATGGATAACATCACACTTGTACAGTCTCTTACACTTTCTTGAATGGTGAATTCCTTATTTTTACTGATCAAGTTCTAAAATGAAATGTTTTACTAGGTTGGAGCCAATCAACCGAGTGAAACTGTTGAGGAAAAGAATGTTGAGGAAAAGAAAGGTCGTGGTAGGAAAAGAAAGGCAGCTGCCAATTTTGATAATGTAAGAAATTCTATGCTTCCTTTACTTTTCTTAAATGAGATATTTCTGAGTTTGGTTTGGTAGGTCATAGTTATACATGGATTCCTATATAGGTGTAAAATCAGATTAGGTTGATATTATATTGATTAACATTGAGGTTTTTAGTAGTCTGCTTGCTCTTGCCTCCTGTACCAAGTGGATTCTTCTCTATTTGCCATGTAATAAATCTTGAGAAATCTTGGGAAAGTCTTATTCTTATAAGTTTTACTTTTCCATCCCTTCTGAAAAAGCACATCTTTATTTGATATTTCGGTATGCTCATTAAGTTCCATGTATCTTCATTATGTATTTTGTATCTTGACATCTTTACCTGTGCATTATCACTTCCCAGAGGAAGGCAAAGAAGGCAGTTGAAGCTATGCTTACAAGATCTAAAGAGGGTGTGAAAATTGAAGATGAGAACCTCACTGAAGAACAAAGAATTGAAAAAGAACAAAAGGAACTTGTGCCTCTGCTGACTGGTGGAAAATTGAAGTCTTATCAAATCAAAGGTGTAAAGTGGTTGATCTCATTATGGCAAAATGGTCTGAATGGGATCCTTGCAGATCAAATGGGACTTGGAAAAACTATCCAAACCATTGGTTTTCTTGCTCATCTAAAAGGGAATGGAATGGATGGGCCCTACTTAGTGATTGCTCCTCTTTCTACTCTTGCGAATTGGGTAAATGAAATTTCAAGGTAAATTGTTTATATACTTTTTGTTTAACTGATCTGAATTTTGTTTCATCCTATGATTTTCCAACTTTAATTCTTCATTTGACTTCTTTTTACCCCAAATAGGTTCACACCTTCAATAAATGCTATTGTCTACCATGGTGACAAGAAACAAAGGGATGAGATACGAAGGAAGCACATGCCTAGTAAAATTGGCCCTAAGTTCCCTATAATTGTTACTTCGTATGAAATTGCAATGGCTGATGCAAGAAGATGTTTAAGACATTACAGTTGGAAATATCTGGTGGTTGATGAAGTAAGTAATCTAACAAGTCCTACAGATACAGTTTCCCTTTCAAACGATATAACTATATAGCATGAATGTTGAACTTTTATGCATCTGTTTATTAAAGGGTCACAGATTGAAGAACTCAAAGTGCATGCTGCTGCGGGAATTGAAACATTTACGTGTAGACAATAAGATTCTGTTGACCGGGACACCTCTACAGAATAATTTGGCAGAGCTTTGGTCATTATTAAACTTCATTTTGCCTGATATATTCTCATCCCATGAAGAATTTGAGTCATGGTAAATATGGTTTTCTGATTAATTATTGTTTCTTCTGTTTGATGGTGTTAGCTTGCAACTTGTTCGTCTAGTGAGGTGGACATCTCCACAAGTAGTCTGGTTGACAACTTTCTGCCCCTCAGAATCTGCATGATGCAACTAAAGTTCCATTGCATATGTATAACTAGAGGAAATGAGCTTCAAGCCTACTTAAATATTAGATTTTAGAAATCCTGTGATGAAGGTTAGCTGTTTAAGAACCATGCTATATGTTGGTATATTTTGCCAGTGCCACTTAGTACGGTGTAGTTGTATTTCTCTTCACTTGTAAGTGAGAGGTCTTAGGTTCAAATCTAGTGTAAATATATTGTCATATAAATAAAAAAGATCCATGATATGTTAGGTGAGTAATTTTTGTGGAAAACTTGTGAATTTACTGTGCGGCTAGATTGTGTTAGTTTGTTGGATGAAAAAAATTACGACAGATAATGGTTCTAATATTACTTGACCCCATCAATTAGCTTAACTTCAATCATGTTGTCAGGTTTGATTTGGCAGGAAAGTGCAGTAATGAGGCAATGAAGGAAGAATTGGAAGAGAAGAGAAGGGCTCAAGTATGTGTTCTTGCAAATATTGTGGCTTAAAATCTTGCACAAATTTGAATTGGGTGATGTTTAATTGGTGTTCCATTGTCTGCAGATGGTTGCAAAACTCCATGCCATCTTGCGTCCTTTTCTTCTTCGAAGAATGAAGTCTGATGTTGAGCACATGCTTCCTAGGAAAAAGGAAATCATATTATATGCATGCATGACAGAGCATCAAAAACATTTTCAAGATCTTCTGATCAATAAGACATTGGAGAATTATTTAGTTGAGAGGGGAGACCATGGTATGATATCTGTCTTTGCTGTGAAACTTTTGGACACTAAATTCCTTGTGAGAAATCTGGGGTCTTACTTTAATGACTTTAATTAACTAAGGCAGTTAAGGAGGTGGATTATTGGTGGGGCTTGTATTTTTGCCATGGTTTTAGGATTTATGATAGACTAGCTATTTGAATCTTTCTTTTTTTCACTGCGGTAACACATTTTGTAATGGGCCTGTTTTATGGTTCTTAACCTTAATCAGGATATTGGATGAAGGTATACTATGTATACTTTGGCATGGTGTTGAAATGTGATGATTGGCTTGGTGTCTTTTACTGTATCATATTATGCTGCAATCTGTGTTATTTAACAATTCTTAAACTTGCAGTTCGCGGTATGAAAGGAAAGCTTAACAATCTGATGGTCCAACTTCGGAAGAACTGCAATCATCCTGACCTTTTGGAGTCTGCGTTTGATGGCTCATGTACTTTGCCTTGAATTGATTCAGTGTTATCATATCAAATAGGTGCTATACCAATGCTTATGCATTTTTTTTTTTTTGTCTTGACAGATTTCTACCCGCCTGTTGAACAGATTGTTGAACAGTGTGGAAAATTTAGTTTGCTGGACCGGCTGTTAAAGTACCTGTTTGCCCGCAAACACAAGGTATGCCTACCAATTATTTTTGGATTTGTTTTTGTTTGTTACTGGGTTGCTAATATCTTGAATTTGTATTCAGGTTCTTATCTTCTCTCAGTGGACTAAGATTTTGGATATTATGGACTACTATTTTAGTGAGAAAGGATTAGAAGTTTGTAGAATTGACGGCAGTGTGAGGCTTGAAGATCGGAGAAATCAGGTCTGTGGTTGGTTTGAATCAGAACTCTTAATTTTTCGTTTGAAATTTTCGAAGTTTAGTAGTTGATGTATGTGATCTCTTTCTTTGGCCACATTAAAACTAGACTTATTTTTCCACAATGTAGCAACCCTTGTTTTCTCAGACTTCTGCAATGTAACATAATGGTTCAATCAAAGCATAACTGCCAAAATAAATGTGGTTATGCCATCAGAATATATTTCTTGGCAGCTAAAACCTTAAGTTCGTGCCATAGATTAGTGTTCTCACGGTACATAGATTTGGGAGTTTATTTTCTCATTGCCCAACTTGTTTACATACTCAAATTTGGTTTTCCCCTCCTTTTGGGTTCAGCGCTTACTTTTGAACAACTATAGTTTAATTATAACTATTCTATTCCTGAAAGCAGATTGCAGCGTTCAATGACATGGACAGCAATTATAGAATCTTTCTTCTAAGCACCAGAGCTGGTGGACTGGGTATCAACCTTACTGCAGCTGATACTTGTATACTGTACGACAGTGATTGGGTATACACTCTCTCTGTTTAATTCTTTCTTCGATTCTTCTGCTGCAATTAAAGATCCATGAATGATTGATTTCATTTCATATATTGCTTGTGCATACCAGAACCCTCAAATGGATTTGCAAGCCATGGATAGATGTCACAGAATTGGTCAAACGAAGCCTGTTCATGTTTACAGGTTGGCAACAGCACAATCTGTCGAGGTAAGCTGGTGTTGCTTGCAGCTTTTTATATGTAACTGGGTATATTTTATTGTCATTGTAAAAAATTTCGGAGAAAATGTTGATTAACAGGGTCGGATTCTGAAAAGAGCTTTTAGCAAGTTGAAGCTTGAACATGTGGTGATTGGGAAAGGGCAGTTCCATCAAGATAAAGCGAAGAGTAGTACTGATTTCCTGGAGGTTAGTTGCCCTTTGTTTGTTATGCTGAACTGAATTAGAAAATCAATTTACGGAGTCTGATGCTGTTGATGCATGAATTATCCAAGCTCTTTCTTTTTATCTCAATCATAATTTCGTAAGTCTTCAATGGTCCGAGCTGAAATCAGTCAGGTTAATCAGGATCTCGCTAATTTTGGTGTTGTGCTAAATTTGGTTCAGGAAGAGGATCTTATAGCATTGCTCCGAGAGGAAGAATCTGCTGAAGACAAGATGATACAGACGGTTATCAGTGACGAAGATTTGGAGAGGGTGTTGGATCGCAGTGATCTAATGGGCAGTCCTGCTGATCATGAAGAAGAGAAGGCCAATGGTGTTGCCGATGTGCTTCCCCTCAAAGGCCCGGGTTGGGAGGTGGTGCTACCTACTGCAGGTGGAGGCATGCTCTCCACCCTCACTAGTTAAATTTTAACAGCATTCGGATGTTGAACTTGGTAGGGTTAGTCGGTTTATTGAAGTCCGATGACTTTGAATGTTTTTGAGTTAAGGGTAATGTGTATCGAAAAGCTAACCCCCGATGAACCGAAATGGAAGGGCTCGATCATTTTGTATATGCTCGAATCGAGCTCTATCGTTGCATTGGAATATCCGAGTTACGTTCCAAGACACTTGTTGAAGTGTAATTTTAATGAAAAACACAGCCTATTTCATGTTATTAGGAGTTTAACTCGAATGAATGTTATTTTTCTTTGATTTTGTTTTGTTAATAAATGAATGTGTAATATTGTTCGCTCATAGTCAACTGTTTGATCCATTAACGCCGTCGCTTTACTCAAAAGATGAATATGCAATGCTATAAATCAAAATATATCAAGGAAAATTGGCTAAAATCTTAGAATCCGATTCTTCTTTGTGAGAATTTCGAGAATCAGTCGTATGGTTATTGAACACAAACAGTATTTACCAAAAATTGATTGTATGATATACGATGAACAGATGAATCCTTACTAAAAAGATTCGAACAGATGAATCCTTACTAAAAAGATCCGAAGAGGATCCCGTTGGAAAATCCCATGTTTGTTAATTTCAATTCCCCATACTTCAAATCTTAAACGTTTTTTTTATCAATGAAAAATATTTGGCAAAAAAGTTCCATTGCCGGGAATCGAACCCGGGTCTCCTGGGTGAAAGCCAGATATCCTAACCGCTGGACGACAATGGATAATTGTGTTAATGACTGAACTGTTTTACATAATAAATGCATAAGCTAACCCTCCCGGCAACTGAACTTTTTTCTCAATTTTCATTTTTTTTAAATAATAAAATTTAACATAAATCCTCTCATCCCTGAACCGGGAAAATCGAACAACAGTCCAGAACCGGTCTAACTCGTTGAGTAACTCGGAGAGCAGCAGATCCAGTACAAACCTCTTGGTACCTCTCTATACTATTATCCCCACCTCTTCTATTTATTTAATTTCTCAGAAGAAAAGATTACATTTTTTTTTGCACAATCTGAAACTGGTTAATTACTGGTTGGCTTGTTATATGCTGAAACATGTTCGGGGTTTAAAATTTGGTGGATTTTTAGTTGGGTGTTTAGGTTTCTGAGAATCCCATGTTCCTGAAACTTGAAAACGTTGTTTAGTTGCCATTATCTTTGTCTTGGTGGAATACTCAGGTGTTTTACCAAATGCAATTGCTGGAGAAAAAGCTTTGGCCCAACACTGAAAGGGGTCGACCACCACCATGCGTATTTGTTGCTGTTTAAAAAGGGAGATAAAGAGTTGACAATGACTTGGAAATGATCCATGTCTTTCGAGATAATGCCTGGTGGAATCATGGGATTTTGAGGTTGCCTTTTTTGAGTTGCACTACCTTGTCTTTATTTGGTGTGTGAGGGTCATGGAATCATGGAACTGGCACGCATAATTTGGTTTCCAGTTTACAACTCCACTGTTTCCACAATGTTTGAGCAGTAACAATTAGTTAATAAAGTCGTAGATTTATCCGGTTATATTCCTCCCCCCCCCCGCCCCTTTTCCTACCTAATGTATTTCATGAGTACCTTTTGTTGTTTTATCTGCATGGTTCAAAATTTTATCGTTTCTCCGGTGCCTTTGGTGCGTTAAACGTCTCAAAATTATATCACTATGATGCAGGACTGATGCTGCGGTGGCTATCTTTTCGGCCTTAGTTTTCCCTGTACTCTTTCAGGAAAAATCTTGAGTAGTTACGTAGTTTTATGCTTTGGCATCTCTCCTTGTAACATCGGCAGGCTGTGGCCACGAAAAGGGAAACAAGAATTTTGTTAACATTGTGTATGTAAACATGTATTAACAGCCCATTTAATTTGTGCTTAAAAGACTCATTGCTCACATTTGATCCATTGGGATATTAGTTGATGTTACTGAAGCCTTAAGTGGTAGTCTTGGTCCACAAGCTCTTGGATTACTCTTTCTGGAATAAATGATTACGTTTTGTATCAAGCCTTACAACTCGTACATATTGAATGATACATTGTTTCATGATACCGCATGAGTTTTTTTGTTGTCAGATATTATTGTGGGATGAGACGTTTATGTCTGTATTTTCCCCATGCAGCTCAGCATGTTAATCTGCATAACTTCCGTATCCCTGAAGTAAGAAGATCAAGTTGCTCCACTAATTCTACAGTTCTACCTTGGGTTATTAGCATGAGGAGAAAAGTTGAATTTGGTAACATAAATTAATTACTTTTCGAAAGGTGCCTTATTTAGAAAGTAAATCGGTAACAACTTTAGATGTTGCCTGCATTCGTACTATGATTTATCAAATCCATGTTTAGCCTTTTATTATAACTTTGTTTCTCGGGGAATAATATTCAATTATCATAACAGGTGCAGCTTTAGAACTATTTTAGGCTCTTTCGCGTTGCCTTTGTGAAGACACAGACTAGAAAGAAAAAGAAAAAACATAAAAAAACAGAAAGTCTGATTTATATTTCTTCTAATATGTCAAAATTTTAGTTTGTTTATCATTTTGAATTGTTAATTTAAATTACATATCTGAATTCTTTAACGCCAGAAAAGACATAGATTGCACTGTTGTACCGAGATCTGCACATCATAGGATAATGTCAGTTTTATGTTATCTCTGTAATTGCATCCAATTAACTCAACTTCTGAATTGATGCTCTATTGATTTCTAATATGAGTTTTTCTTTTAATGTAACCCCTACGCGAACGCATTTTTTGCTTGTATCTCATTTTGCTTGCATCTAATTTTGCTTGCAAAGAGGTCGCACTTGGTGCGATGGCAAGTGCCTTCGCCCATGAGTTTTCTTGGTCCCCCACCTACAGGACTGCATTGTTCTTTTTCCTTCAAACGTGGCCCAAGGTCTAGTATGATGAACTAGGGAAGAAGAAAAGGAAGAAATAGAACGAAAACCGAGTGCTGTCAGTGGCGTACAAAAGACATAATTGCTTTAAAGTAATAAGTAAATGGCCCCAAGCATGCCAAAGTTATGCAGGATTTCTTTTATCTCAGAAGATGATGAGTAAGAACTGTGCAACAAATTATTGTTGTTGAATACTGCTTTTGTTTCTTGTTGTCACAGTTGAAGTTCATATCATTTATTGCTTTAGTGTGCCCTTGGATAGAATAGATTGTTCCATGAAGCTCTATTCGATTATATCATTCTAATTCTCGAACGAGATTATACGTATATAGCCTGTTTGCTTTTAGCAGTTGGTGCCATTTGGAGTCTGCAATTACCCTAACCCTAAAACCCAAAGGTAAGGATGATGATGAGGTTGCCCACTTAACCAAAAAAAGGAGAAGATTTTTATTATATGACCCGAAATGGTGTATTCTGGGTGGGAAAGAGGTGGAAGTAGTGGCAAGAAACTTTATGGAACATATTAGTCATATCAAGCACTGTTTTTCCACTAAAGTATGTTCTTCGTCTGCATTTCTTCTAATCGATTGGAACATTTTAGTTGTATTCAAATATAGAAAACCCTAGAAACCGTCATTGCTAAAAACTTCGAACCATTTGTGATGATCCGTCTGTTACAGTAGTGTTCAATTAGTTCATAGAGTCCATTGAAATTTCCCTTTCTAGGCACCTGGACTTTTTGCAGGGGTTTAGCTCAACTTAGACCAAAACATGAGTCATCTGCTGTATGTTAAAGACCAAACGAATGATGTGGATTTTGTATGTTTCAGAGGAAACACAAACAATGCAAAATTCAGGTTATGGATTATGATAGATGATTCATCCAGAACAAGATAACGCTATTTTATAAAACACCTGCACTCTTTAGTCTAATGCTCTAATACTATTAGGTCTAGTTGTCATGAGATTATTAGCCTAACCACGTATTTAGCTGATAAGAAAGTGCAAATACTCGGTTAAATTTCACCAAAGGCCGAAATTTTCGGCCAATTAATGATTCTCTTCCCACTAAGTCTAAATTAATATACATCTTTGTTGTATCTTTAGCTTATACTGGCCTAAGAATGCCATCATAGAAAACCCTTTGATTAATTGTTGTATTAAATAATGATTATGCATGATAAATTAAAAAATTATGGTGCTAATGTGTTGATGCATTCATTCATTCACTTTATCTATGTGCATGAATCCTGACCATCAAAGTATTGAGGGGACCATGTGTTGCTGCTTAGCAGAAAGGGAAAGTTCACCCCTTCTTTTCTTTCTTTTGTGCTGGAATGTTGATGTTCTGAGTTGCTTTTATTGATGGTTTTACAAATTTTTAATTCACAGAATTGATAACCACACACCGATTTTCTCCCTCGATGCTCATGTTTGATTTTGCTTCTTGTTTCTGTTAGATTTATTCAATCCGATGAGTCCATGTAATCTCCTTTTTAACTTTTTTGACTTTTTTGGCACTATGTTTTGCTTTGCAGAGGTAGGCCTATGTTGCCTTGATTATCTGTTGCTTAAAGCCTCCCCCCGTGTGGCACATCTATATGAACTTTGGTTCTTCTCCAATACATTTCCAGAACCCTGTTTCTGCAACTTTTGTTCTGTCAGTGCTTAGAAAACGAAATCATTGGAACACTTTGGATCCTTCAATCTTTATCTTTTTGTTTTTCCTATTTTTTCTTATATGGTACATACTACTTAGGGCTGGTTTGGTATTGCTGTGTTTTGAAAAAAAGCTGCTGTGAGAATAAGCGGCTGTGCTGTGAGAATAAGCGGCTGTGAAATAAAGCCAGTAGAGTGTTTGGTAAACTTTTGTGAAAGTGCTTTTGGAAAAAAAATCAGGATGATAGTGTGTCTTTTCATTAAAGGAGCACTGTAGCTCCGTGTGCTTTGAAAAAACTGGCTTTTTTTCAAAGCAGCAAATAGCAGCTTCAGCTTTTCCTTTGATTTTCAGCTTATTCTCACAGCAGCTTCCAAAATAAGCCATTTTTTTTCAGTTTACCAAACACAAAAATGACCCTCAGCTTTTTTTCACAGTGGCTTTTTTTAAAATCACCTCAATCCCAAACGGGACCTTAGTGGTCCGAAAATCAATAGTTTAAGTCTTGCATATGAATTGTAAACCGTACTATTGAGTGAGACGTAGTATTGTAGCCAGACCCCAATAGAAGTGGGCTCTTAGTATTATGTATTGATTATGGTAACATTGTTTCTTTTCTTTTTGTTCTTTGGTCGAGCGGATGGATTTGAACTTGGGATCTCTTCAAACTTTGAGAAGAGAGAAATTTCTATACAATTCATTGTAAATGATAAAATTCCAACTCAAGATTTTCCCATGTTTATAAGATGTAGGAAAATGTTCCTGTCTTTACATAAGATAAAAACTTGGGTCAAGATTTTCCCATGTTTGTTAGGATCATGTTCAATATAGTAGAAATTCCAAAAGGCAACCTTACCTTTTCAAAACCCTTGAAGCAAACTTTCCCTTGTTTTTAACCTAATTCAATATGGTTCTAGTTTGCCTCGTTTGAGATAGTCTGATCAGGACAAATCTTACATCGTCTAGAGTTTCAATAAGAGATGTCCTACCAATAATGTGGTCGGAAACTCAGTACAAGTTTTTCTCCTCGTGAAGATGCTCTAACAAGCGTAGTTAGTGTTTCGTATAATACAACAAGTGGAATGGATGATGCTGCATGTTAAAACGAGAAAGACATAATGGCAATCATTAGTGAAGCAAGAGCAAATGGTCAGCCATGCAAATTCAAAATTGTTATCTCAAATGTGGTCCTGCAACGCAGAGAGCCCTATTTATATGATTGATCAAGCAATGGTAGGAAAAAAGACTAGTAAAGCAAACATCATTTTGTTCTTTTTTTTTTTTTGGACGTAAAAATTTCCAACCACATTTAAATTGCACAGAAAATTAACAAAGCTATGAGCATAATATTAATAGGTAAATTTACATTGTTGGTCCTTGTAATTTGAGAAATTTTTCATTTTAGTCCTTATGATGATGCATAAAATTGGATCAACAAAATAGCAAGTAAAGTCCATCCAAAAGTACAAGTAGTGATGAAAATGTAATCTGAAATGGTACTTGTGTGATACTAATCAACTACTCTCCGATAATATAGTCACGCATTTACAAAGATTGTACACAAAGGAATGTTGACGTCATTTACAAGCATTGTAAGAAAGGAGTATGGACCAGACTTCGTGGATGAATTATTAACCTTCTCTTCTGCCTGGTTGGCTAAGCATGGTCGTCTATGTTCCATATATTATAAACTTTCAACACAATAGGAATTTTAGGGTTTAGGAATATTCACACACAGTCATTACACTTCAAATGTCAAGTTAGTTGTGTACGATATATGCACACACATGTCAAATTTTCCGTCTTCACTTATAACGGGCTAAGTAACTGGTTACCAAGATTGCCCCAATAGACTGGAAGATGATCCGGTCCGGATCTCTCCCATCAAAGGTCTAGGATCAAGTGATCTTGGTCGTTAAAATTTGATCCAACGGCTACAATTATTATAACTTTAGAGGGGTTCTCTGTTTGTAACCATTTGATCAAATTTCAACGATCCAGATCATTTGATCTTGAGCCTTTGATGGGAGAGATCCGAACCGGATCCTCTTCCCAATAGACCAACTACAATTACATGGCTAAAATGGCCAAAATCCAAGGTTCCAAACTAAGTGGAAAATTACTCAAACTACCTAAACCAAAAGTGCAATTTGGAGAAAGAAAATGAACTAGTCAGTTGAGTCAAAGTTGGTCGAAAGTAGAGTATAAAGTGGGATAATTTGGGTGACTGGGTCCTCAGCTGAGCTGTGCAGGTTCTTGGAGCATCGTGCGGCCACGTTTGTAAGGCGAACCCGCTCGTGAGCAATGATTGATTGAACTAGTAACTATCCTTGGTTTGCACAATCATCATCATCTTTTTTCATGGGCTCACCTCAGTCAGCAGTCAGCAGTCACCACTCACCTGTGGACCTCCCCTCTCCCTGCTATCTGCACCTCTTCTGCCCTTATAGCAACACTTAACATGCATCAATTTCGAAACAGCGACTTGAATGGAATGGTTACCAATACAATAACGTTTAACGTTGATAACAGGTTATTCGAATGTATTTAAATAGGTATTATGTTTATACATGGATCCCTACATCATTAAATTCCATTTAAGATTAGGAATAAGACGTAAATAGACAAGCTTTTTACATATCTCTCTTATTTGGGATAAGACCCTATTCACCTCACTCCTTTGGGCTCCTATTGAATTGAGAAACCCTTTGATTGTCCATCTTTTTTGATATAATAATGTATTAGTTTTTTTTCCACGTTTTTAGTCTTATATTAATGGAAGAAAAGATCATGTATAAGTTTATAAGTAATTAATTATTAATCTACTTTTTATATTGTCAATCATTTTATGGTAAAACTTTATTTATTTTTGTATTATAAGTACAATACACCATTACGACAAGATAACTGCGACATATAAATAATTATTCAATTTAAGATTCTTCCACAATGCATTGAAACATGTTATCTATCGCGGTCTTAACCAGCTGCTTTCTTAAGTCATTTAGCTAAACAAAAAGAACAAGAATTCCAACCCACAATTTTCTGATGCATAATATATACCGAGCATAATACTCCAACTTTTCTGATTCGAATTGTAAAACTAATATTGATTTCTGTACTTGGAAACTTTGGATTTGACTCCGCACCAGCTTTTTCTTCATCTTCTGATATCTGCAACACGAAAATACAAAAACTTCATTTCGTACAACAAAACTCTTTTGACTCTGCATAAAAAGATAAATTAAAAACCTTATCTTAATCAAACATGTCTTTGGAAGTTTCTGCTTGTTTTGGTCAACAATATATACAGCCAAATTAAGCTTCCAACTTCCAACAAGGACGTGTTTCTTTGTTTCAGTCTCTTTCCTCCATTTGGCTCTACTCAATCTTGATGATCCACTCGTGATACCGGAAAGGACTTGCATGCAGTCGAAAACCATACTTCTATCGTGGTGTTCTGAGCAAATAGCAGTGCTGTATTATGTATAAAGTTATGTTTGTCACATAATCTGAATAACACGCAACTCTAAATGTGAAAGATGTATAACCATACTTCTATCGTGGTGTTCTGAGCAAATAGCAGTGTATGTATAAAGTTATGTTTGTTACATAATCTGAATAACACGTAACTCTAAATGTGAAATGTATTGAATGAGGATCTTTTTCAGATTCTCTTTGTGAGGATTCCGAGGATTTTTAAATTGTATCTGTTCATTATACATCTTACGATCAGAAATCCTTTTAGATATTTTAATTTTAAATTAAATATAAATAGTATCTGATAAAAACTGATCGCACAATATACAATAAATGGACACGATTTTAGAATCCTCAGAATCCTCACATAGAGAATCCTGCTGGAGATGTATCATACAATGGATTTACATGAAATTATTTTTACTCAAATTAAGCAGCAATCAAACAAATTCGATCACCGACAAGTCGAAGAAATGCCTAGTTGACAAGTCTTTGATATTACTCTACAATTTCATGTAATCACTCTTAACAGGCCTCTAGTTGTTGACATATATCGGCATAAGCCTTTAACAAATATTTCAAACATTAACATGTTCCTACTAGGTGTCTGACGAAAGAGTAATGTTATTCATACCATGTTTTTGTACCATATTTTCATACCATCTTAGACGACATATGATGTTGACAATCACATCATTTAAATTAATCAAAATTTTAAATTTAATTAATATTATTTAATAAATCAATAATTAAAAATAATGATAAATTAAATAATGATTGTGATATACAAGGAGTTTTTCCTTCCAACCGGTGGGTGTTGCAAATTTTTCATTGGGCATAAAACCATGAATTTGGTGGATTTTGCAAGTTTTTCAACAGGGATTCAAATCAAAGAACAAAGCATGCAGAACAAGTATGGTCTAAAATATCCATAATATCCCGATATTTCCATCGAAATTTCCGTGTTTTTGGAGTACCGATATTTTTTTGAACTACCGATATTTCCGATATCATCGATATTTTAGACCTTGCTAAGTCACTCATGTATCTTACCATCCAATGTATAAAGTGTAAAATATTGTACTAATTCATTATATATAAATGATTATGATGTGTTTAAACTTCTTTCATTAATTACTACATATTTTCTACACTCACAATGTTTGCCAGCTCGCTATATAATCAACTTAAATCAATTATATCTATCATGCAATGCATTTCCTTCCAATTTTTTGTGATAAACTAATAGATAATTGACTAAATAAACATCCTGCAAAGTTTCAATGAAAATTTCCAAGTTTTTCTTACAATTTCCGTGGTTTTTATTTAATTTTTATTGATATCGATAATATCCCGATATTTCCATCGAAATTTTCGTGTTTTTGGACTACCGATATTTCTGATATCATTGATATTTTATAACAAGCACACTGAATCATGAAACTTTGTAAACCCATATCTCATTGGGTATAGAAACGCATGAGATTTGGTAGGTTCTGCAAATTTTTCAACAGGGATTCAAATGAGAGAACACAATTGTAAAAAATAGCACACCAAATGATGAAAATTCTCAAAACCCAGCTTTCATTGTGCATAGAAAGCCGTGAAAATTGGTG